ATATCCAAATCGGTCAGGGGATGCAACCCGATGTATTTCTGCTCGATCTCGATCAAGGTGCCATCGAGGCCGTTGCAGACAATGATCTTGTCGTTGAGGTCCTGCTCGAACTTGCAGCCCTTCGTGTTGGGGTTGGAGCTGGATGAGGCAAGGACGCCTTGCCATTCGCGCCGGACCCTGTCCCAGTTGGAGTGAGCCTTGCGGATGTTCTGCACCGCCACCTTGTCTCTCTCGGCATTCGGGTTCGATGGCGGGCTAGAACTAGGGAGGCCACCGCCACTGCCATCTGCGTCCGTCCTCGGTGCCTTTCGCGGGCGGCTCGAGGTTACCCACTTCTCTTTGAAGGCGTTATGGGCCTCAGTCAAGGCCTCTTCAGACGCATCCTCCTTGCTGCCGTTCTCGGTGCGGTCCGTGAGTCTCTTTGAAGTTGCCCAGCTCTCCTCGGTGTATGCGACCTCAAGGTTGTAGGGGTACTTCAGTTTGGAGTTCGGGGGCAGTCGTGGATTAGGACGACTGATCATGGTGCCGTGCTCGAGGTATTCGCGGATGATCTCCTCGCCGTCCTTCGAAGCAGCGGCTGAGAATGTCATCCATCTGCCCTCCTCTTTCTCCTCTTTCGTATCCTCCTGGACCTTGCTGTAGTTTATGTACCTCTCTGGAATCTGGCCGCCCTTACAGCTCACGACTTCGTCCACGAAAGCACGTTGCTCCGCCTCTGGCTCCAATTGCTTGTCGTCCCACACCGCTTTCAAGTGGGGCGCTCTCTCCAAGCGGTAGTAGAATTTGTTGTAGAGGTTTTTCTGCTCGACCAACCAGGCATAATTCCCTCCCTGGCGCTTTTGTGGTTTCATCGCTTGCGGCTCGGCTACTGCACCTTCGGACTTAGGCTCGGCCTTCGCAGATATCGGCTTGGCCTTGGGCTTGGGCATGGCTGCCGCATGTGGGGCTGCTGGGGCGGACTTCGCTGCCGTCGCCATCGCTGGTGATGAAGCGCCCGCGCTGCTGGGCGCGGCGGCGGCAGCCGCGACTGGCTGCTCTCTCCCAGCTGCCTGGCCCCGTTGCCGATCGAACAAGCAAGCGAGACTTCCTTCTGCCTTGATCGGCGCGGAGGTTGCACCGCTCGTGTCCACTGCGGGGGCCATGCTGGCTTTCTTGCTTTTGCCCATGGTGTGCACGCGCCCGAGGCGATTGCTTGGGCAGTTGCGTCGCTGTACAGGCTGAGCCAAGATAGCTACGGAGCTTGCGGGATTCCGAGATCTCGTGAGGCCTTGAAGGCTTTGGTAGGACCTGGAGCCTTCGCGTTTCGATGCCCATCAAAAACTTCCTGTCCTCCGTTTCGTTCTCTCCCTTCCACGCCTCCTCGCCCACCCCAGGGTCTATCACGAAGGCAAACAACTTATCAAATGTGGCTGCTCCTCCTCCCCAGGGTTTTCTGCAACTGAAATCGTTTGAGGCGCGTTTGAAAAATCAGGCGTTCCGACTGCATGCATGGGAGGGTCTGAGAACATTTAACGTCATCATCCCTTCTCCCTCCTCCTCCTCCTCCTCCTTCTCCCCTCCTTCCTCCTCCCCCTCCTCCCCCCACTCCTCGTGTTCCTCTTCCAACTCCTCCTTCTCCTCATTCCCCTCCTCCTCGTCCACCTCCTCCTCCCCCTCCTCCTCTCCCTCCATCGCCTTTCACGCATCAGAGGTGTCGCTGAGGGCGTGTCCAACGGGGGGGGGGTCAACTTAAGCGACCCTCCGTTCTGAGCCATCATCGTTCGGACCCCCATCGGTCAGTTCCTCGTTCGATGCTCTATGGGCAGGGGATGCGAATGCACGGCGGGCGCAACCGATGCAGAGCAGATGAGAAAGACAAATAGACGAAATCAGAATGCGAATGAACCGTTCACCCCTAATAGCGGAATCAACTACTCGTCATCCCTGTAGTTGTAAACTCAGCGGCGCGCGGCACATGCGCCGAAGATCGGGAGCTTCGGCGTCCAGTGCCGCCTTGAACCTACTCAAAATGAACGTGCCGCCACGAGCGCTGCTCTGGCAAGATAAAACGCGCCGCCGTCGGAAGGGAAACAGAAGCAAGATGGCCCAAGACGATCAGGATACACCGTTGCCGTGACTGATGGGGAGATTGATCGGATGGATGGTAGAACTCCCACTGCCTCGGGGGACGCAGGCATGATCGGAATAGGTGCGAATCCAGCCGAGTGCAACGAGCGGTACCGAGGTAATCCCGAGAGGTGCGATTGCAATGGTTGGAGAGACAAGACGGAGGATGACAAGGACGAGGATGGCAATCAAAGAGCACGTTGCGAACGACTGGCGCAGGGATGGGACCGAGAGAGGAGGGGGAGGAGAAGGCGGGGAGGGGAAGGAGAAGCAGGATGCAATGAGGAGGAGGATGGGGGAAGGCGTAGGAGTGGGAAGAGGGGGAGGGGCAGCGGATGAGGATGAGGAGGAGGAGGAGGAGGAGGGAGGAGGATCGCCATGAAGCCCAATGGTACAACTGTGTGGCTACCGCCAAAAGAAAGAGCGACATGGCGGCATGCGATCACTTCCCCAAGAACGTCCTCGCGGCCTCGACGGTGGTGATCTGGCCTGCATCGATCGAGTCCTTCAGGGCGTTGACCTTTTCAATGTAGTCGGGCTCGCGGGCAGACATGCCCGCGACGTACTTCGAGCCAAGGGGCCCTTTGCAGACCACGTATGCCTCGCCGATGCGCTTGTCCGTGTGCGCCCGCGTGATCACCATTGCTGGCGGCGCGATGGTGATCTCAGATGGATCCTGTTTCGTCGGGTTGCTCGCTGGCTTCTTCTTCACGACCTTCGGGGGTGTTGCCGCGGGTGGCGTAGCATCAGCGGCAGCAGCGGCCGCCGTCTTAACGTTGAGCCTGCGCCTCTTGCCATCAGGGGGGCCCGTCGTCTCCAGTCTCTGGCCACCGCGCTTGCAGGACGGGATCTCGATCGACTCCGAGCCTCGGACTCGTCAGTAAAGCTGCAGACCACTCGGCCAAAGCCCCCCCCCCCCCCCCCCCCCCCCCCCTCGCGAATGAGGAGGGGGGGAAGGGTTCCAGGATGACCCCAGAGCCCCGCAACGTTTTCAAATATATCGAAGCGCACGCCGAGGATCTGGGATCCTCGTCGGGTTTCGATATGTTTGATCTTCGATCTTCGATCGATAATTTGTTTGTTGTCCTTTGTGCTACGGCCTCCAGGGTCTGCAGCCTCACCGACGAGGCCCCCGATGCACATCGGGCAAGCGCACGTCTCGCCCACGAACAACACGCTTTCGGAACTGTCGTCTGACAGGTCCTCGACGCCATCATCGTCGTCCATAGCTGGGAACAAGGATTGGACTGACTCTGCCGATAGTGGGCTTCCAGCAGCTGCGTCGCCCTCCGTCGCAGCCACCCCGCGGTCCTGAGGGGGTAGATGGGGAGGAGAAGGAGGAGGATGAGGAGGAGGAGGAGGAGGAGGAGGAGGAGACGGAGGAGAAGACTGGGGGACGAGGAGGAGGACGAGGAGGAGGAGCAGAAGGAAGGAGGAGGAGGAGGAGGAGGAGGAGGAGGAGGAGGGAGGAGGAGGGTGCAGATTGAGGCAGAAATTGGCGACAGTTGCGAGAAGGACTAGGATTGGGAAGAGGAGGAGGAGGAGGAGGAGGAGGAGGAGGAGGAGGAGGAGGGGCAGGCTGCGTGCGTGGGACACAGAATATTCGACGGGCTCCGACTTCTCTGGGAGCACGATCATGTCCACGATGGCTTGGACCTCGGTGGGCATGTCGCTGAAGGTACGGTGGGACTTCTTGATGTCGTAGAGGTGGCGACACATGATGCGCCATGCGTCTGCGGCCTTGGCCGCAGTGGTGGACACGGACGTGGGTGGCAGATCCTGGCCGAAGACGTTGTGCTTGTAGTGGATGAGCGTCAAGGCGTGCTTCACGCTGTTGTGGGACGGGAACCCACTCGGAGCCAACTCGATGAGACTTATCAGCGGTTGCGCGTGCTTCTTGAGGGAGTCGATGGCGGGGCTCAGCGAACGGCCCAACGAAGCGTACGTAGCACCGTCCCAAGTGAACAGGGTTTTGCGAGATTTTGCCAAAATATCCCATTTCTCAGCCAAGTCAGCGCCATCGAACCGATATGTTGTCGGCCGTGGCGCGCGCTTGGAAGCTGGCTCTGCTGAAGCCGACATGGTAGCCCACAGAAGATCGAATTCACGATCCCTGGAACCGTTTGAGCCAAAACGGCTGCAAAAAGGAGGAGGAAGGAGTTGAGAGAGAGGGGACCAGGAGGTCTCAGGAGGCTGCCGAGGATGAACATCCTTCTTCTATTCCACTTTCGGGGGCAATGCGACGGGGCCTCTGCAAAGTGCCTTCAGTAATCCCCTGTCCTCAGCGCCAGCGCAGCCGCGATATTGTAATGTAACTCACGCTGTGGGATATGGATTCTCGTCTTTCTGAATTTGGGCGTCTGGAAGTTAACCAAGTTAGCGCTATGTTTATCTTCGCTAAGTTGCCTAATAAGTTGACTGCGTTTTATCATCGAACGTTTGTGTGGTATTAACACGTTCGCGATTCATCATCGCAAACAACCAACTTAAACGCGCGACCGAGATTTATAAAGTTAGCTCTTTTGGGCTATTGGGTTGGCTCCGGGCATCCAGAATGTGGCCCGGGAATGGCGTTCTGGGATGTCGAAGAGCACGAAGTGGCCTACAGTTGCATCCGGCCCCCCAGAATGTGGCCTGGGAATGGAGTTCTGGGAAGGCGAAGAGCACGAAGTGTGTGACTGTTGGTGAAAAACGAGCCCGGCTCACTGCCGCCCGGCAACTCCCAACACCTGCCCGGACCCCCCTGTGGAGTGATCTGCTGCTCTCTTTTGATCCCACTAGAAACCTATCAGTCTTCGCTGTTAGGTAATATCACTCGCCTTTTCACCCCTTCGCAGCTTCTACTACCCCCAGATTGGCATAAACAAGGGGTCGGCGGTGTGGCGTAAGCCTAAGAATCATCTGGACAAGGTGGCCGTAGGAGCGGTAGGCGCGCAGGAAGGAGACGAGCCGGATCGACAACAGCAGCATGGTGACAGCCATGAAAGGAATTGAATCTTGTGAGTCGATGATAGCAAGCAGCACGGCTGCTGGCACAACAGTGCACATAACTATAAAGGCCCAATCAACTGCGTTCCAGCGGTCCAGTTTGTAGCGCACCCACCCCTGCCGGCCCAAGGCCCGTACCTCCCATTGAGTAGCCCGCAGCCCATTGATGGGAACAAGCCACAACGGCTGCCACCATCCGAACAAAACACCAGTAGCGCCAGAAACCCGTAGCAAAGCAAAAGGTATCTCCTTCTTGTCGGCAGCGCGGCGCCACCCAAGCCACTGGAAGAAAGAAGGGCGCCAGCATCGCATGCAGCGGTTGCGGCAACTCTTCATGATACCGTTTGCCACCTGGCATCCGCAGCAACTCTGGCCGATTCCTGTGGAACACAAACTGAACAGAGGCATAGATGCCTGGAGACCGAGCGAGGCTCCACCAAACCACCGGGCAATTCCATTCCATGGTGCCGATAGCTCAGGGATTGCTGCATCATCGTGAGCGGCGGCACTCTCGGCTGTAAGGAATGCAAGAATCACGAACAGGATGGCGTCGACTGCAAAGAAGACAGCGCTGCGTATATTGGCCATCTTCCCATAGGTCTGCCACACATGCTCGACACATGCCATATTTATCGTCGAGTCGATGAAGCTTTCTGGTGGTGACGAAAGCCGCGTTAGCTCCTCCCAGACTGGCTGAAACTTGGGAAGCCACAAAGCACGAAGGGCAATAAGAGTAAGGCCTTCGGGCGCAATGGATTCCATGTAAGATGCCCGGCTCAGCGCAGGCTGAAATGAACCAACAACGCGCAGTGATTGAAAACCATCAGACTGTGTCGGTAGCTGCTCGGCACCATTTGCACTCGTAAAAAGTCCTGGCTGTGTCAACCGTGAGTCAAGGAACTCCACAAAGCCAGAATTAAAAACATTGGTGGTGAAGCGCTTGACGAGCCTACCCAACGAGTCGGTCCAATGTTGCATTGCAGTGAGCCTGACTGGTGTCTGTTGGAGATACTCAAGCACGGCTTGGATCATGCAGAGACTCTCAGTCTTCACTGCCAGGTCGAGCAAGTTCCCATCGACTGTCTCTTCGAGGCCACCCCAGATTTTCTTCTCGATGCAGAGACCGCTGAGGAACTTGAAGGCATCCACCTTACATGGAACATAATATGAGACATGATTGCCTATAGAATCTAATTAAGCTTATTCACATCTGGTTAATTTGACTGAAGATATTGTTATGTTGCCGGGCCACGGCCCACAGAGTCATGTTAGATACGATAACTTCTTAAACCTGGATCCCTGTTTCCCACAAGTTGCAGAACCTTCCCCTCCTCCTCCCCTGGCAGAGCTGTGACTTTGGAATTCAGCACTACTGCAACATTCCCCTGAGGACCAGAGCATTCGGAAATCCTAAAGCACAAGCAGCCTTGTACAAACCCATGCAAGAAAAACAATGATAAACAGGATGCGTCAAATAATCTGCCAAGATCCCCGAGCACCTTTCCAACGATCTTCCAATCTGTCAAGGAACCCAAAAGATACATCCCAGAGACATACATTATACGGGCGTCGGCCTCAAACACGTTGGTATATTTGATTGGGATGGAAGAGGTGAAGACGCTTACTGGTGTGATACACACAGGGCATAAGAATAGGGGATAGGAATAGGTTTCGAAACTTTGAGGGCGGTTGTCACTCTATACGCATAGGACTAAGCATAGGAACAGGGCAGAGGAATATGGTATAGTAATAGGCGTAGGATAGGACATAGGAAAAAGCATAGGGACAGGGCCTGGGCATAGGAAAAGTACATAGGAATATGGTATAGAAATCGGCTTCGCAACTTCGAGGGCGTTTTTTACTCCATAGGGTTAGGGATAAGCATAGGAATACGCATAGGAATAAAGCATTAGGCATAGGAATAGAGCATAGAAACCGGCATAGGATATGGCATAGGAATAGGCAGAGGAATAAGGTACAGGAATAGGCGTGGGACTAGGGCATAGGAACAGGCATAGGAATAGGGCATTAGGCATAGGAATAGGGCATAGAAATCGGCATTGGATAGAGCATAGGAATGCGGCATAGGAATAGGCTTCCCAACTTTGAGGGCGTGTCTCACACCATAGGCATAGGAATAAGCACAGGAATTTGTCATAGAAATTGGCAACAGAATAAGGCATTGGAATAAGCTTCGCAACTTTGAGGGCGTTTCTCACACCATAGGCATAGGAATTAGCACAGGAATTGGTCATAGAAATAGGCAATGGAATTTGAAGGCGTTTCTCACTCCATAGGCATAGGAATAGGTATCAAAAAATATAGGAATTAGGCATCAGGCATAAGAGAAAGGCATAGAAATCGGCATAGGATAGGGCACAGAAATAGGCAGAGGAATAAGGCATTGGAATAGGCTTGGCAACTTTGCGCGTGTTTCTCACTCCACGGACATGGGCATTAGGAAAGCATGGGAATAGTGCATAGAAGGATGCCTAGGAGTAGAGCATAGGAATAAGCTACAACTTTGAGGGCCTTTATCCTTTTGCTAATTCTGATGAGATGGTTAAGATCGCCTAATGCTATGCATGTTTGGCAAACAAAACAGAATAGACATCGAGTAAGCACAAGAAGCTCTGCTTCGGAGTACCCACCCAGCAAGATGGGGTGGGCTCATGGGGTGTCAAACCAGGCACAAATCCTTAAGTAATCAAAACGGGCACAAATATGTGAGTAATCACACCAGTCGCAAACCTTCAATAACCATTATGCCAGCGTCGACCCCAACAATAATGTTAGGGTACTGAGAGATATAAGAATATTGCTTGAACACCACCACACCAAGGAAACTAACGACACCAAGGACAGCAGAACACCAGGACACAAAAGACAGCAGGACACCAAGGACACCAGGACACTAAATACACCAAAAACACCAGGACGCCAGGACACCAAGGACACCAAGGAAACCAGAACACCAAAGACACCAAGAAACCAGGACACCGAGAACACCAGGACACCAAGGACAAAAGGATCCTTAAGCACTCAAACCCGTCGCAAACCCTTGAGAAACTACAATCACAAATCCTTGAGTAGTCCAAACAAACACACCGTTCAATAATCAAACTAGTCTCAAACCCTTCGTCACCCAAAATGGTCACAAATCCTTAGGTAATCAAACGATCACAATAATCAAATCAGCAAAAAATCCATGAGTAGTTAAACAAGTTGCAAATCCTGAAGTATTAGGCCCAGTCACAATTCCGTAAGTAATCGGAGCAGTCACGAACCCTTCAGTAATCAAAACAGACGCACGTCCTCAAGTAACCAAAACAACCACACCTCCTTCAGTAATCAACAAGTCACAAAGCCTGCACCAATCAAAGCAATCACAAATCTGAAAGAAATAATTCCGTTACAAATTCCTATAGATTCGTGGGGATTCGGATGGTTCATGGTGGTTCAGAGAGACAGGGACTCAAGGGTACAAATAGGGCAATATCTTTTGGTACTTTTGGTGCCCAAGAGTGCGTCTTTGGCTGAGAAGCCAAGATGGCCCCAGATAGCCCCGGACCCCATCCAAGATCGTTCATGACTGTTCTTAACTGTTTTTCTTTAACTTTCCGTCAAGACACAAACAGCTGTTCAAACAACATCGTTTCATATAGGGTCACTGGTTTCTTGCTCATCACCTCTAAAGCCTCAAACCCTAAACCCAAACATTCAATCCAGAGTCCGAGGACCGGTGGCGGGACTGCCGTAGGCACTTAGAAACGATCGTTCCACCTTGTTCTCGCGGACGAACCAGTGCAGTAACGTGTACTCAAGGACCGGTATGGCCTGCGACAATAAAAATGGGTGCTGCCCCAAGAACAAGTCTCTCTCACGTTGCTTGTCTCCGGCTGTGTTCTCCACTAGGTCAGTGATCGACCGCCAAAGTTGTGGCAAGGGGTACTCCATCGTGGGAAACACAGCCAGACAACCGTCAGCGCTACCTGCAGCCAATAGAGGCTCCTTTGGTGAAAAGGCAATGCAAACAGCAGCGCTTGTCAGAGGGTACACAGCTACCTGCTGAATGTGATACCCACGAATTTCCCTGGACCAAAGCACAATGCTGTCGTCCAGACCACCAGAAGCAAGGCAACCATTAGACGCGAATGCCAATGTTGTTATGGTTTTACCGCCATGATTGTTGTAGGATCCTCCAACGTGACCATCATCAGTGCTGCAGATTACGATCGAACCATCGGTTGCACCAGAGGCGAGCTGGTGATGGTCACCGGGATTCGCTGGAAAAGCGAGAGCCGTCACCTGGCGATCGCCGTGTGGTTTGGTGCACCACAACTCTTCCTGATCGCCAACTTTTGCATAAAGGGCAAGTGAGCCGTCAACACCGCCGACAGCAAAGCGATCGTCTGGCGCCAGCGCAACCGACTGGAGTGTCCACAGTAGTGGGTCCACATGCATCAACAGCAGTGGGTCCTCATCGTCGGGATCCAATAGCCCAGGGAGCCTCGATTGAGTTTCACCACGAGGAGCAAGAGATACTTGTTTTGCTAATGTGCCGTCCAGGGTAAAGATTGCAAGATACCCATCAGAGCCGCAAGAAACCATGTGACGGCCATCCGACATGACCGCAAGAAGTTCTACGGATGTGTTCTTGTTTGGGTCCCGCGGCGGGTCGCTGACCGGTGTGAATCTATTGCAGGGCTGCTCAGTGTCATCACTGTTGTAGCGGTAGTTGGATATTGTAGACTCCAGGTCAGACCCCTTTGCAAACAAGCTACCATCAGGCGCAAACGCTACCGCCCTCACCTTTTCGTCATTGGGCAACTTGATACTATGCCACTTAGTGCTGACAATGTCGCAAAGAGCGAGTGAACCATCCCAATTAACGAACGCAAGTCTGCCATCAGACGTGAAAACAACAGACATTCGGCCACCTAGATCTGGTTTCCAATAAAGCAGTGGGGTACTGGTTTCAAATAAATTAAGCGGATCTTCCTCCCCAGACCAGCTGGCTTTCGATCTAGCTGACTGACTAGGGTTGAAAAGGCTCAGACGACGAGCGCCGTAGATGAAAAGCAATCCATTTCGCATGCCCACAGCAAGGCTGCCATCAGGCGAGAACTTGTACTGCTCCGCTAATTCGTCCAAGAAGGCAACCTTCATGCATTCCTTCATGTCCTGCAGCTCGTGTACGAGAGGGTGTAAGAACGCGGGTCCATCATGATTATGCCCTCGTTGTTTCATGCACCGAAGCTGGACGCCGGTAACTCCATAGATGGTCACAGTCTCTCTACAGACTGAAACCAAGCATCCATTCGGCTCAAAAGCCAATGCTTTACTTCGAACGTCCGCATGATGCTTGTATTCTTCACCTTGTAAGCATAAACACTTCTACCCGTATTAGGGGTAACATATTTCCTAACATCCGGGACAAATCTAGGTAAACATGCAGAGCGCTCGAGAAACCACATTTGCCAAACCAAAACATTGATTATCTTAGCGACACCCTGACTAGGCGGTTGCACACATTGATCTGGATAATGTGATTTAAGATGCTGCACTTTGCTATGCTCTGCTGTTTGTTGTTATGTTTTGCTTCGCTTTGGCGTTGCTTCGCTTTGCCGTGCTTTGCCACTATGTGCTGCTATGAATTGCAATGGTAGGTTGTGCTTTACTATGATTTGCGTTGCCATGCTTTCTGATTTCATTGCGTTACTTCGCAATGCTATAGGAGCTTTGCTATGGTTTGCATAGTTACTGTGCTATGCGTTGCTATGCTTTGCTTTGTTATGATTTGCTATGTGTTGCTTTGCTGTGTTACTTTTTGCTTCTCTATGCTTTGTGTGGCGTTGCTTGGCTGTGCTTTGCTCGAGGTACTCTGCTATGCGTTATTTTGCTATCCTTTGCTATGCGTTATTTTGTTTTCCATTTCTTTGCTTTGGCCTGCATTGATTGGGTCCGCGCTGCTTTGCCGTCTTTTGCGCTATGCTTAGCAAGGTTATGCTCTGTTTCGCTTTGTCGTGTTGTTTGCTATGTGTCGCTTTGCCATACTATGCTACGCTTCGGTTTGCTTTGTTACGCATTGATCTGCTACGCGTTGCTATAATTTGCTATGTTTTGCCCCGCTTTGCTCTGCTATGTTCTATGCTATGACTTGCTTGGCCATTCTTTGTGTTGATTTACTTTGCTATTTGTTGCTTTGTTTTGATTGGCCTGGCTTCGCTTGGGGGCGAGGAACAGAGGGCCCAGGGGGATGGGGAAACCGGGGGTCGCCAGCTACTTGACCGAGCACGTAGAACACAAGGGTAGGAACCCTTCGGAGCTTCTAACATCGCTTTCCTAGTTGGGCCAAAAACAAACATGGTAAACGAATAGAGCCACACGAAAATCAAGATCGTTTAGGTTAGACATTCATTGTTGGTAGAAGTGTTTATGTCTCCAAATCACCTGCAATGTTGAAGAATCTGAGTCCGCTTTGAGTCTTGTCTCCGCAGTAAGCCAAGCGGCCATCGTCAGCAAGAGCAAGTTGCGGAAGATCGGGTAAGACATTGAAAAGCACATCCAAAGCTTTCCGCTGCCTTGATCCCGCAGTTATCCGCTTGAGAAGGTGGAGCTCCGATCCAATTATTTTGAAGAGAGCTACCTCTTCGGACTCATGCAGGTAAGATGCAGAAGCAATTCGGCCATCTCCCAAAAATACAATTGCGAGAACAGGCCATGCGCTGCTGTTCTCATCAACTCCATGAACCTCAACGCGGCGGCACAGTTCCTCTCCGTGAACATCATATACGACAACTGAGCCATCATCCCCACCGGAGACCAAGCAGTTATCCATCACCCCACCGACTGCAAAAGCGAGAGCGCACACACAGGCACCCTGGCGTGTTGGCTCCAAACGGTACAATGGTTCGTTTTCGCTGTCATGAATTACAATCTGGCCACCCCCGTCACTGGAAGCCACACGCCCATCTGCAGACAAGGCTAGCGCCCTCCAACAATTTGTAGCGTCCCCACCGTGCACACATCGGATATCGATTAAAGACGGTACAATCTCAGCCCTTGAGCACATTGGAGGTTCATTGGAATGGAAATGTTCTCGGCATAGCGCCTCATCGCCTGCTGCTCCCCACCAAGAGGCAAGCTCCAAGGCTTCCCGGCCGTTCATCGCCATGGAGTTCAGCTTAAGCCCAAATAGCTACAGAGACAGGCAAAATGATTAGACACATTTGGGCACTTTCAACGAGTCGAACCAAATTATCTTAACAGCACGCCTAATAATCGATACTGTGAAGTTGTCTAAGCGTGCGGCTGAGGGCATTCTGGATGCTGTGAATGTGTCAGAATATTCAAGACTCCCGGACGCTGCAATGGATTTCTTTGTACATCTAACCCCTTTGTCATCTTGTTCCCCATACCTCCTCATTCTCTCCTCTCCTTTTCTCCTTTGCCCCTTCTCGCACAGACTCTGAGACTGGGACTTCCCACACACGTACACACAGGCACGCATACACACACACACGCCACATTTTCTGTGCAGGCCATGAACCGATTCTAGTCTCAACAGTTTGGCCACACTCAATGGATCACACATAAACACTGCCATTGCGATTGCGAAGATTCGTTTGCGTACCATTGAACATGCACGTGCTCGTGCTTAGGCTTGGCTGCTTTTGCGGATGTGAGTCCCGTCAAAATATTGACGACGCTCGAGCTCAAGCCAACCTAAACCAACATCACAAGCAATCGGTTCTGCTGGCGTTCCCACAACTGCCGTAGGTTAAAACAAACACGTTCCAGATACACCCTTATCACACAGGGTCTCTTATGGAAGTTTAGAGCGCGATGAAAATTAAATTGTCACAGAAACACCCAACTCTATCTGAATTGTGCGAGAACCTTCGGCGTAGCACAGGCATGTAGAACCTTATGCAACTTAGAACATCACATGGGTGCCCAAGGCGAAGATCGAATTTGTCGTCAAATTGAATAGCCTATAATCCACAGAAGATTAACATGCTGTAAGAAACGAAGTGACTCTGACACATATAGAATAATGCTCAACTAATTACTGTGCACGGGCCCAGGCAACCTTTGTTCTAAGGGGCTGACATCTATATTATGACAGGATCTGGTCTTCTGTGAATATCAATAAGGCAACTGTTCCTGGTCGTATATGATTAGGCCACACACCCCACCCACCCACCCACCCCCAAAACACACAGCACACCAAACTGAAGCCGGGCACCTGACACCTGACACCAGGCACCCGATCCTAACACCCAACAAACACCCAACCAACAATCAACAACTCAGATATGAAGGCACCCAATCTAGATTATGCAAACTATGTCATCAATCAAGCAATCAAGCGAGCACGCGAAGCAAAAACAAACCAGGCAAAGGAAAGAATAATTGCAAAGTAAAAGCAAGCCTAGCAGAGCGAACCAAGCCAACACAAAGCAACGCAGGATACTGCGTCTTTCCAAAGTACTATCGTGGATCAGTGCTTGGGGTCTACGTTCAGGTATCATGGTGACCAGTCAGCCAGCCAGCAATCCCTTACCAAAAAACTGCCACCAAGAGAATAGTGTGCCAAATCAAATACATAATACAATTACAAGTTGTGTTGCAAATATTACATGACCAAGCGATATGAGAATTGCCTTGCCACAATTGATTCGCTGTCATAAAGCGCTTTCAAAATAAAACATTATTGCTAAATAATAGGAGCATAGGTCGTCAACTTTACGTGGCAAGACAATAGGAGCATAGGACGAAAAATCTGCATGGTGAAGCTGAAAAACAGGACGTCAACATCTCGTGAAACCAAAACTAGTTGGGTACCAAACTCAATTTCAAGACAACACAAAAATGAATGTGACAAGTTTTAGTGACAAAGCAATCATAAAATATAGCACCAACTTAAGATGGTGCACTCCGAGAGTGCACGCAAGCATTTCCCAGTGAGTAATCGGGGGTGGAATGTGGTTTGGCTTACCAAGTGATGGCCGCAACTAGCTCTGTATGTTGGAGTATCCTTGCAATACTTCGAATTGCTTTGAAAACTTTCACATACCTGGAAAAAATGGAAAACTCATATGCGAGGACGGTCTCTGAAGAGAACCGTGCTGGAATCGAAGTGGCTCCTATAAACAAGGTGTATACGCAATGCAAACGAAAACGAGCCATATCCCAAGATATAGTTCAGATGCGACCGACCAAGAGCTTCTAGAGGCCACCCTTTGACATTTCGACATCGAACATACATAATATGGAAACACAAATGATCGTGTACCCTAGCCTACTGAGCAAGCACGGCAATTTTCCACCCAATTATCCCAGCGTGACCCTAACTAGGATTTTTTCATAACTTTGTTTGGTATCACATTGTTTCTAATAGTTTATAATTTATAGTTTAGCTTAGCTTAGCACACCTTTCAGCTTTCAGCTTTCAGCTTTTAGCTTTAGTTTTTAGCTGTAGCTTTTAGCTTTAGTTTTCAGCTTTAGTTTTTAGCTTTAGCTTTTAGCCTTAACTTTAGCTTTTAGCTTTAACGTTTACCTTTAGATTTTAGCTTTAGCTTTAGCTTTTAACTTTAGCTTTTAGCTTTAGCTTTTAGCTCTAGTTTTTAGTTTTTAGCTTTAGCTCTAGCTTTTTTAACTTTAGCTTTTAGATTTACCGTTTTGCTTTAGCTTTAGCTTTTAATTTTAGCGCTTAGCTTTAGCTTTTAACTTTAGCTTGTAGCTTTAGCTTGTAGCTTTAGCTTTAGTTTTACTTTAGCTTTTAGCTTTAGCTTTTAGCTTTAGCTTTTAGCTTTAGCTTTTGGCTTTTAACTTGAGCTTTTCGCTAGCTTTTAGCTTTAGCCTTGAGCTTTAGATTTTAGCTCTAGCTTTTAGATTTAGCCTCTAGATTTAGCTTTTAGCTTTACCTTTAGCTTTTAACTTTAGCATTTAGCTTTAGCTTTAAACTTTACCTTTTAAATGTTGCTTTTAGCTTTAGCTTTTAGCTTCAGTCTTTAACTTTAGCTTTTAGCTGTAGCTTTTAACTGTAGTTCTTAACTTTAGCTTTTAACTTTAGCTTTTCGCTTTAGCTTTATTTTTAGCTTTTAAACTTTAGCTTTTAGCTTTAGCTTTTATGTATCAGAGGAGTGTATTCAGAGGAGTGTAGGCAGAGGAGGTGGCGTGCTCGGCTTCGCCTCGCGTCTAGCTCTGGTTTAACTAGCGGATGGTTTGTAGCTTTTAGCTTTAGCTTTTAACTTTTGGCTTTAGCTTTTAGCTTTTAACTTGAGCTTTTAGCTTTAGCTTTTAGCTTTAGCTTCAGATTTTAACTTTAGCTTTCAGCTGTATCTTTCAGCTTTGGCTTTTAGCTTTAGCTTTTACCTTTTGCTTTTAGCTTTAGCTTTTAGCTTTAGCTTTTACCTTTAGATTTCAGCTTTAGCTTTTAAATTTAGCATTTAACATTAGCTTTTAACTTTAGCTTTTAACTTTAGCGTTTGACTTTAGCTCTTAAAATTAGCTTTTAGCTTTAAGCTTTAAACTTTAGCTTTTAGCTTTAGCGTTTGGCTTTAACTTTAGCTTTTAACTTTAGATTTTAGCTTTAGTTTTTAACTTGAGCTTTTATCTTTAGCTTTTAGCTTTAGCTTTTAACTTTAGATTTTAGCTTTAGCTTTTAACTTTAGCTTTTATCTTTAGCTTTTAGCTTTAGCTTTTAACTTGCGGGGGAACCGGGGCCGGGCTCGGCTCCAACTACGGCTCCGATCCGGGGGAACCGGGGCCGGGCTCGGCTCCAGCTACGGCTCCGAGCCGGGGGAACCGGGGGAGGGCGTGTTATTCTACCAGCTCTGTAAGAGATTATGTAAGAACCCTTCTGGGTAAACCTAGTTAGGGAACAAATAGCGTGTGGCAAAACAAAAAAGGGAGCCTCCTCTAGCTATGTAGGGACGACCATTTTCCGCAAAATGCCACAGAGACGCATAAAGCACCATGCAACTTATGATGCCAAACGGCGCTCGATGGCTTTCTAAGAAAATAAATCAATATGAAAGAATTGTATCCAATACGCATGTAGAGCAATTGTTTACAATACGACGGTCGCAAGGACGTTCAGAGCACTGTGAATATGATGGGATCGCGGCTCGCATGGACGTTCAAAATGAGATTTAATTCAATCTAAACTGTCATATGGACTACGAATGGTTACAGCACTATGCAACATAGGGTTGGGCATGAATGCTTATAGTAAGATCTACATTGGTTCTCAAGTATGCGTCGTGGGGTGTCACTCAAGCTTACAGAGCACTGTGAAGACTGCAGGGCCGTATTCATGGATGTAGCATTCAACAGCGCGCAAGGCTGGTGCCCCATGTGCGTTTGTAGCATTGTGCACCTGAACGTGCCAAATGGGTAGTCGAGCACGCTTCAGACATGAAGCGACACGTATGTCACGCGCGTGTTTCCAAAACTGTAGGCTTAGAGTCATGAGTGGTGCGCGTTAGAGACACGCGATCAGCGTTCTATCACATGGACGTTTAGAGCACTGTGAAAACGTCGGGCGTGCTTTCCTTGACCGCTTCGACCACTGAGACTTTGAAAGCTACACTGGCAACACCCTTGTTTGGGAGAATGTTGCTGTTGGCCAAATTTGGACCAAGAGCTGAGCCCAGCTTGCAAATCCTGAATTACCTGGCCGCTTCACATTCAACACAATGTGCCATCAGCAGATTCATGGGCGAATTCAAATTTCTGCGTTGTCTGTTAAGCGCCACCAGGGCACTCCGTGTACTCCTCCAGATCTTAAATGAGCGTGAAAGTACTATGTCATATGAACACTAAACTCCCGAACCTACCCAGTGGCAACCCTGGCTGTATCAAATGAACTTCGGGCACGATACCGTTCTTCTTGGCGTTCTAATTCCCAGATCTCGTGGAATTCTGGGATAACCTTGGATTGAAGCCAGAAACTCAAACGATCAGCATACACGGCCGCGACACGCATGAAGACACCGCAACGTAACTGGCAGCCAACTACCGCGCCAGTCACGCGCATCGTCTTCGCACACGGCGCCAGAAAGCCTTTCGTTTGGTCCTAAGGGCTCGGCCAGTGCTTTGCTTGTGGCCACAACTGTGAGTCCACACACGGCTGCGCATGTCGCGTCGCGCAGCGAAGTGAGCTTCAGCGATTCGAGGAGAAGCTGCGCTCT